CCAACAACATCTGCACATGGTTTGCAGGATTCTTAATTTAAGAACCTGCACTACCATCAAGGAGACCAGATGTTGTGAGCTCTGCATTTTCCCATGAGAGGAAGCACCTGCTATAATCTAACTCAGGCCTGTGAGCACAAACCAGGTCATTAACTGTGAATCCTGTGTGTTTCAGCTTTGCCAACCTTTGAGAAGGCTCTGAGCGCCCCCTCGTGTGCTTTCACAAATATATGTGGTTTAATCACTAGTTGTGTTAAGTATTGTCTTCTATACTACAGGATTTTACATCATTATTTTATGTTTGTTTCAAAATAAAATAGAACAATAATAAAAATAGTTGAGACACTGTTCTATTCTTAGGAAAATGACCAAAATGGAACTCCCAGTGGAAGTCATAGACAAAACAACCTATGATTTACACTGAAGGGGAAAACAAAAGAACAAAACATTTTCTGAGTCAACATAGAGAAATTAGTGTTATAAATAAAACCCATTTGCATACATCTTAAAGAACAAACTGCAACGTAGACAATCAGGAAGCAGGGACAAATTCAAATAATTCTCCAAATCATCATATTCATTGTTTCAAACATATTATAAGAAAATGTTTTCTAACTGAAGTTCCCACAGTTTATTTATTTTTAAAGAGAATAAAAATAGTAAAGAACACATTACAAGTAATACAGAATTTTACAAAACAAAATAACAGGAATTCGACAATGGTTGTTATATTGCATAATGTTGTCTTCAGATTAGTTATTTACATTACAAGTTAAAGTATGCAAAATAAATAGTAATAGTAAAGCTGTAGTAAATTAAATAGAGAAGATAAAATTTAATTAATACCTACTCCTTTCAATAGACCCTCAAAATCAGCAGTACAACTATCCAATCCATCCGGTATACATACATAAATATACCTTTATCCCTTCCTTCTTTCTTTCTTTAATCCTTTTCCTCGTCCTAGTGCTCCTTCCCTTTGAGCAGATTTTTTCCCTCTCACATCATCCATTGTACCTTTCAGATTTTATTTACTCTTTCAGGTTCTTGCACTAGCAAGACAATATGTTTGCACATGTGCATCTGCTTTATTTCCTTTATGAGTATGTTCTCTAGTTGCATTCATCTACCTATAAAAGCCTCGAGTATATCTTTTTTATAGCTGAGTAATAGTTTTTAAATATTATTTTTTGGTTTTTAAAATTACAGTACTTTTGCTTTTATGACATCCATTTCCTTCTTTCCTATTTGTCTCAAAGATGTATGCAATGGATAATCATCGGGCTTTGACAGTTGTTGCTTAAAAATCTGGACCACACAATAGTAGCACCTGAGTCATTTCCTGTGATGATGTCTTGGGACGTTCTTTCCTCACTCAAGTTTTGATTTTCCCAGTGCTCCAAAACAGGATTTTTGATATTTTTTTCTAGGTATTTGAAAAGTGAAGAATTCAGCTCAGGTTTTGGTTCCTTCATTTTCTCTTTTACCTTTCCATTGGACTTGTTCAGGACAAATGGCACATGGCACACACGTCCTTTTCAAAGCATTTAGATTCAAATATTGGAATCAGTCAAATTTTGTTAGACATGAATCATTTAATATGTGCTTTCAATCCCCTGAAAGTCCCTTAAAAGTCTCAGGTCTCTCTGAACATCTGTGTTCGTCTTTCCTTTGTAATTTATGGCACAGTGAAAATTATGGCTTCAGGAAAGAAAAGTATGTCTGATCTGAAGTGACTGTCAGAAGCAAGAGAAAAGTGTTTGCTGTTATCATCTGAGGTTCAGACATCATCTAAATCAACATGGTTTGATAGCCAAATCCTAGAAACAACCAAAATGAGGAATTGTTGAAAAAGATGTGGTGTTTTTATACAGCAGAGTATTACTCAGCTATTAATCAACATGGTCTGTCAAGGGGCTTCCATTGAAGTCATTTGATTCAGAAGCAAAAGGCTGAAGCTTGGACCAATGTGCATGACTTCTCTTCCTCTATTTTCACTGTGCTGATGGTTCCCACACTCTGGAACACTTGGATATTCACACTAACTGTAGGCTGGTTCTCTAAACTCTGTTGGGCTATTTTAGAGCTGAAGAAAGAAGTAGTTTTCTACAGACAACGATTAGAAATTATTAGGTTTTTATCATTTTTATAAGTAGGATCTTCATGGTTATATGTTAATGTAGATTCCTTGCTCTGAAGATCACCTTCCTACTGGGACGGCCCATGAACTCCAACTTGAAGAGCAAGAGAATCCTGATTTTATCTTTTTTTATACATGAAAATGCTAATGGACACATCAAAATCACTGCACCACAAAGCAAAACTTAGAGGCCATCATAAATTATTTCCATCTCCTGAGAATTTGGCACTAATTTTTGGTATTTGGGGAAAGAATGCTGGG